TGAACCTTCCTCATGTGTTGTACCAGCCGCACGGAACGGTTGTAGGATTTGTCCAACTCATCGATGATGAAGAGGAGATCAGAATGGAGAGCGGGAACGGCGGCGTAACGCCACAGCAGGTAAGGCAGGTACATGAGCACCGCCACCACCAGCAGCGAGTAGGGGAACACCTGAGTGAAGGAGAACAAGCGACACGGAGTCACTTCACCTTTGCTGAAGCACCCAAGTGTGACCTGAAGGCACCCAAAGGTGAGCGTGAGCCGTTACCTTGAGAACCCAGAGGGATTTGGTGACGGCGTGTCCCTCGGCGTCGAAGCCGTGATGGAGGAGGGAGTCCCAGCAAGCCGCGTCGACGTAGGCGGATTGTTTCCCGGTGAAGTTGGTGGGAGAGAAGCAGCTGATTTGTGAACCTGAGGGTGAGGAGAAGGGAGAACCTCAGCCAGGTACCGATGCGTTACGGGAGGGTAATTCCATCCACGGCATCACTTTGAATTAAAAAACCCCTTTTTCACAGTTACTTTGTAGCTCTCCTTCCCCACCTCCGTGCTTTCCAGCCAGGAATTTTCCATCTTTTCCCAAACACAAACCTTTTTGATCAAGGCTGTGGGTAAGATTCTGGCCAGAAACCGGAGTCAAACCAAATCCCCAGGGGTTGCAGCTAAATCCAGATTTAGCCTGAGGTCAATGCAACCCTCTGTGCTGTCGGTGCGACGTGTCCCCTGAGCCGCCCCCGCCGGCACCCTCCTCCTCCTGCTCCTTGGAAACAACCCCACAGCACCCAAAGGTGCTGGGAGCAAGGAGCTGAGGTGAAGCATCACCTCACCACCGCTCCTGGTGATTAATAATCCATTAAAAACAATTAATAATAAATATCCCTGAGGCAAAATGTTTCTTAAACCAAGATTTTCCACTTCAAATCACGACCATGACGGTGAGAACGTGAAGTTTTTTCCACCAACAATGAGAAATTACCCACAAAACCTTGAAAATCCCATTTGGCAAAAAACCCCACGACTCACCGGTGGAGAATTCCCGGGCGAAAGCCAACGAGACGAGGAAAAGGGGCAACCCCACGGTGATAAATTTCAACAGACGATCGCTCGGCAGCTCCAACCTCAAACCTTTGGCTCGGGAACCGCCGGGATCGGGGAGGAGAGCGTCGGAGAGCATGTACTCGGCGGCCGTGTGCGACAGGGACATGTTTTAATCGAGGAAAAAAAGAGACAACGGCGACTGATGCTGCTGCTGAGGGGTTCTGGAGCCGTTTGAGGCATGAAGAGTGATTTTGTAAGGCTGAAGGAATCGTTTGAGAGTTTAAACAGGGCGTTAAATCAACTGGTAATTACAGGGGGAAGCTTTTTTGTAAATAACACGCCCCAAAATAGTAAAAAAAAATCTAAAAAATAAAAAATAGCAGCTGTGGCAGCGGGCTGGGAAGGCAGCGTTCCTCCCCAGCCGCTCCTCGTGGTTTTACATCCCTCTCTCATCAGCAGATTTATTTTTGGTCATGCTTTCGAGGGGTGTGGGGTTATTTTCACCCTGCTGGAGGAACAAGGACCCTTACCCAGGAACACGGTGGCTTCGTGGGGTACAAAAAGCCTTTTCCAGCCCCTAAAGCAGCTGGAGAAAGTCCCAGTGCCCAGCCCTGAGGGTTTGGGGACAGGCCAAGAGACACCAAACACCGCGATTTTGAGACAGAATATCAGTTGTGGTGGTTCCTCAGCTTTTCAGTCTCTCAGGAGATGGGGGAAGGAATGAATCTGGGTCCAATAGAAGCTCCTGATGGAGAAGGATCATAATAACGGGATCTAGAAATAGGAAATTGGGGTAGAAAAGTTTCTCCCGGCAGCACAGAGCAGAGTCAAGCCAAGTGAGGAAATCCCAGCGCGGTCTCTCAGTGCAGCAAGAAAAACCCCCCCAAAAAAACCCCACAGCTGCTGCCAAATGGCACTTTTGATTGATTTTTGAATTAAAGGAGTCTCCAAATGTAAGTGGAGCGCCAAGATATGAGGGAGAGACTTAAAACAGCTCTAGAGGGATGAGGAACGGTTCTCAAATCGGGAAGGACAGCACCTGGGAGTGCTCAAACCTGCCCGGGGCGCAGAGAGACACGCGCACGCCTTCGCCTCGGCAGCAACTGCACGTTTATTGCTCCGAAACAACTTCAAATCCAGCCAAACCCGCTTTCTACCCAACCTCATTTGTCCAAACAGGAGGGTTTTTCATGTCCAGCTTCATTTCTCCACCAAATCAAGGCCAAAAGCACAGGCAGGTCCCTGGTTTGAAGCTAAAGCCACCAGTACCACCACAGGAGGTCAACGACAAGCGGCTGAGACCGTCCATGTCGTCACACCACTGGCTCCACGGCGTCGTTAGTCGTTAGTGATGTCCAGCTCCAGCTTCTCCAGAGTCTTCTGGAAGAAGGGAGGTGGTTTGCAGACGAGATCTATCCGCTTGTCCAAGGGCAGGGAGAGGCGGTGGGCGTGGAGGTGGAGAGGGAGGTGACGAGCTTTGCTCTGCTTCAGTTTCAACCTCTTCAAGGTGATTTCAGGAAGTTTCTGCGGCGAGAATGGAAAATGTCCTTTCCACAATCCCATCTCCATGAAAATCCCATCCCAGGTGGAGCTGGAGGACACAAAGGGACCTGGATTTGGCTCTGGCTGTGCCCCTCAAGGTGGGATCTGCCTTACCTGAGGTGCCAACTTGCTCCAGTGGGAATATTTGTGATCCCCCAGGATGGGACACCCCAAGCCGTAAGCCAGGTGAACCCGGATCTGGTGCTTCACCCCTGAGGAAGGGAAAGGGGAGAAACGTGACAACCACGTCACCCACCACCCTCAGATAATCCCACACCGAAATCACTGGCAGCAGGGCAGCAACCATCGCCAGGCAGCCAACCATCACCCCGAGGTGGCTCTTTCCCAGAGCTTTGTCCCAAAACCAATTTCCATTGTGTCTATCGACAAGTCCCAGCTTCCAAAAATGGATCCTGCGGCCGAAGGTTGAGGGATCAGCTCACCCTCAAGCCCAGGGTTGAGCAGATCCAACCTCACCTGTGATGGGCTGGAGCTCCAGCAGAGAGCAGGCAGAAGAACGAGCCAGGCGACGATAGCGCGTCACGGCGCTTTCGGCGTTACGGTTCTTGCGGATTTTCACCACTTTCCCTTCTTCGGGAGACAAGCGATAGTTGGGAGCCAACGTCATCTGAACGACAACGAGAAGGTGAGCTCATGGGAAGGGGCGGAACTGGTGGCCCAGGGGGACATTTTGTTCACCTTGTAGTGTGACTGGTGGCTCTGCACCTCCTTCTCCACGATGGGGATCTCCACGATGCCCTCGGCGGGGTCTGGGTCCCCCAAACTAATTGCCCTGGGGAGGGAAACCAGAAATCTGCGGGATGTTGGTCCTGTAGGAAGGGATTCCTCCCCTCATCCCCCTCTCCCCACCACCCAGCTCCATAAAAAGACACTTGAGCAAATACCCACTGCTCCCAAAAAGCCACCACACCCTGGTGACTGTCCCTTCAGCCCTTTCTCCAAACCCTACGTGTCCTCCAAAGCAAATTTTTCCACCCAAAACTTTTTCCTACCAGTAAATCTTCTCCACCTGACGAGTTTTGAAGAGAAGCCGGATCCTTTCTGCCGCCTCCTTGTTCCGTGCCAACACCATCACGCCCGTGGTCTCTTTGTCCAGCCGGTGGCAGAGGTGAAGGGGTTCAGCTTTCATGTTCTCCAACATCTTGGCCAAAATTGGCAGCACATCAGTGATACAATTCTTGACCCCAGGGCCACCTAAAAAACAATCAGGGGAGATATTCATCAACTCGTGAATTAAATTATCCCCAAAAAACATGAGATAAAAGTTGAGACCAAACTTTTTTGGTCACCAAAGTCTGTTGGTGACAAACTTTTCCTCCTCAGCGCTGGGAGGAGATGGAAGATCCCCCCCATCAGCGCCGTGGAGCCATTTCCATTCCTCACCGTGCACGGGAAGGCCGTAGGGTTTGTTGATCACCACAATCTCCTCGTTTTGGTACAAAGTTCCCTCCTTGAGGATTTTTGCCAAGACGTTGGGGTGAACCTGTTGGAATTTCTTACTCAACATCGCGAGTTTCCGCATCTGTCTCTGCGCTGGATCTTTGGGAATCTGAGGAGAGAATCAAAATGTCATCGGTGAAGGATAAATAGCTCTTGGCTTCCACGCAAAGCTCCAAGGAGGAGAAGTGTAAGGTGTGGAGATGAAGGCTGGATGTTGTCCCCACCATCCCACCACCTTCACAATGTGAATCGCCAGTACGTGTACAAGGAGAGGTGGAGGTTTGAAAATTAACATCTGCTGGTTATTGAGCTTATTTTGAAACTTCAATAAGTGGTCGGAGCTTTCAAACATGGTGGTGAAGAGGGAAAGTTGATTATTAATTTCATTTTTGTGCTGAACAAATAACCTGAGTGTCCCAGGACAGCAAAGCTCTACTCGAGTGTTGAGCCTTCTTAATTAATTAATAATAATGCTCTCCTCATCTCCATGTTCTACTCACGTGAGGCTGGTGATTTTTTTAATTATTATTTTGAATGCATTTATTCAAAATTATAAAAGATATTTTTATATTAGAGGTGTTATAACTTCCAGCAAGGGTGTGGAGCTGGGATTTGGAGGTGGAAGGATTGTCATGACCGAGGCTCTTGGTTTTTCTCCTAAATTGTAGCATTAGGGATGTTCTACCTGAACATGAGGGAGAAGAGGGTGACTGAGCACTGGGATAAGTTGCCCAGTGAGGTTGTGGAATCTCCCTCCTGGGAGATATTCATGGAATAGTTTGGTTGAAGAAGAGCTTTAAACCAAGTTCACCACTAAACCACGTCCCTGAGTGTGACATCTT